GGGGGGGGGGGGGGGGGGGGGGGGGGGGGGGGGGGGGGGGGGGGTGATGACCAACGAGCGGGCGGGCAAGCACACGCACCCAGCAGTGTGGCATGCAGCCGGGGGAAGCGCCGCCTCTCGCGGGCATTGCGCAGGCGCATGCCCACTTGGACCCCGGCCGCCGTCCGGTAGGGCACGTAGGCGATCTCCTGGGTGATGGTTTGGCTCTGGCCGGAGGCGTCCTTCGTCCTGTGTGTGTGTGTGTGTGTGTCCGCCAGTGTGAGCGTGCGCGCGGAAGGGCCGAAGCGCAGGGGCATTGGTGGGATGCGTCGATGCGGGCCGGGGTGGGGGGGGGGAGAGGAGAGCAGCTAGAAAGAAGGCCAGTGGCAGCAAGCGAGAGAGAGAGATGGCGCACTCGAACTTGGCCACATGCGACGGGCCACAGTCCAGAAAGACCGAGCCATAGGACCCGGCCGAGGTGACCGCCACAAGGGGAACCGTGGCCGCCGAGCCGCCCGGGCCCGGGCGCGTCACCCGCCGGCAGGCCTCATTCACGGCGACCAGGGTGTCGGCGTCCACATCAAAGACACTCACGCAGGTGAAGCCCTCGGTGTGCATGCGGTCCGGGGTCAGCCACTGGCGCAGGGAGGCCCCCTTGTGGAAGAAGCTGGACACGGCGGCCGACGGGTGGCCGGCCAGCCGGGCCAGCATGGCGGCCGGCTGCTCATCGGCCGTTTCCACCAGCCGCGCCACCCGGATGTCCACTTGCGGATTGAGGATGGCCAGGTGGGTGGCCTTCTCATCGGCCACCTTCGAAGGGGGTCCGGCCCCAGGGCGGCAGGGGTCCACGCGGAGAGGAGGAGGAGGAGGAGCAGCGGGGTCAGCATCAGCATCGGGGGGGACGGCAGGGCCAATGGCGAGAGGGCGGGAGAGGGAGAGGCACAGGGAGAGAGAGGCGCAAAAAGGAAATCGGGTGGCAGAGGGCACAGCAGGGGGCAGGGGGGAGGCGGCAAGGCGCACCAGCTGCCCGACGCTGTAGTCCCGCAGGAGGAACTGCGACTCGCACTGCCCCGGCACGACCAGGGCCCCGGCGTCCAGGAGGGTCACCCGGCCGACGCCGGCCAGGACCAGGTTCTTGAGGAACTCGTCCACCGTGGCCGTGCCCAGGTTCCCGGCGACCAGGACATGTGCGGACTTGATGCTGCAGTGGCGGAGGGGCCCACGAGCGGGGGAGGCGAAGGCGGCGACGTTAGGACAAGGTCCAGGGGACAAACCCCCCCGGGCAGCGGGGCAGGGGATGCTCGCACCGGGCCTGGGCATCGAAGCCCCAGAGGCGGATCTGCCGGTCGTAGAGGCGCGAGTCTTCGTCCGACACAACCGAGGTGATGAAGGGCGTGGCGACGGCGGCGGCGGCGGCGGCGGCGGCGGCGGCGGCCGGCGGCGTGGACATGGCGAGGGGGGGG